CACTACCCCAATCCCTATCACTACCCCATCAGTAACCCCATCACTTACCCCAACCCCTATCACTACCCCCATCACTACCCCAACCCCTATCACAACCCCGATCACTACCCCCATCACTACCCCAACCCCTATCACTACCCCAACCCCTATTCACTACCCCAACACCTATCACTACCCCAACCCCTATCACTACCCCAACCCCTATCACTACCCCTATCACTACCCCAACCCCCATCACGAACCCCATCACTACCCCAACCCCTATCACTACCCCTATCACTACCCCAACCCCCATCACTAACCCCATCACTACCCCAACCCCTATCACTAACCCCATCACTACCCCAACCCCTATCACTACCCCCATCACTACCCCCATCACTACCCCAACCCAATCACTATCCCTATCACTACCCCAACCCCTATCACTAACCCCATCACTACCCCAACCCCTATCACTACCCCCTCACTACCCCAACCCCTATCACTAACCCCATCACTACCCCAACCCCCATCACTAACCCCATCACTACCCCAACCCCTATCACTACCCCTATCACTAACCCCATCACTACCCCAATCCCTATCACTACCCCCATCAGTAACCCCATCACTACCCCAACCCCTATCACTACCCCCATCACTACCCCCATCACTACCCCAACCCATATCACTACCCCCATCACTACCCCCATCACTACCCCAACCCATATCACTACCTCCATCACTACCCCTATCACTACCCCTATCACTACCCCTATCACTACTCCAACCCCTATCACTACCCCAACCCCCATCACTAACCCCATCACTACCCTAACCCCTATCACTACCCCCATCATTAACCCCATCACTACCCCAACCCCTATCACTACCCCAACCCCTATCACTACCCCCATCACTAACCCCATCACTACCCCAACCCCTATCACTACCCCAACCCCTATCACTACCCCCATCACTACCCCAATCCCTATCACTACCCCCATCAGTAACCCCATCACTACCCCAACCCCTATCACTACCCCCATCACTACCCCTATCACAACCCTGATCACTACCCCCATCACTACCCCAACCCCTATCACTACCCCAACCCCTATTCACTACCCCAACACCTATCACTACCCCAACCCCTATCACTACCCCAACCCCTATCACTACCCCAACCTCTATCACTACCCCAACCCCTATCACTACCCCAACCCCTATCACTACCCCCATCACTACCCCAACCCCTATCACTACCCCAACCCCTATCACTACCCCAACCCCTATCACTACCCCAACCCCCATCACTAACCCCATCACTGCCCCAACCCCTATCACTAACCCCATCACTACCCCAACCCCTATCACTACCCCCATCACTACCCCAACCCCTATCACTACCCCTATCACTACCCCAACCCCTATCACTAACCCCATCACTACCCCAACCCCCATCACTAACCCCATCACTACCCCAACCCCTATCACTACCCCCATCACTAACCCCATCACTACCCCAACCCCTATCACTACCCCAACCCCTATCACTACCCCCATCAGTAACCCCATCACTACCCCAACCCCTATCACTACCCCCATCACTACCCCAACCCCTATCACAACCCCGATCACTACCCCCATCACTACCCAACCCCTATCACTACCCCAACCCCTATTCACTACCCCAACACCTATCACTACCCCAACCCCTATCACTACCCCAACCCCTATCACTACCCTAGCCCCTATCACTACCCCAACCCCTATCACTACCCCAACCCCTATCACTACCCCCATCACTACCCCAACCCCTATCACTACCCCAACCCCTATCACTACCCAACCCCTATCACTACCACCCCCATCACTAACCCCATCCCTACCCCAACCCCTATCATCTGTTCAACTATCACTACCCCTATCACTACCCCAACCCCTATCACTACCCCAACCCCCATCACTACCCCAACCCCTATCACCTGTTCAACTGTCACCATAACTACAGCACCACTTTCAATAACAGTAGAGACAGAGTGGATGGTTAGAGTTGGAGGCTGTGCGTGTTTACATTGTAAGCCTGATGTCTGATTACCCAGTTTTGGGAATAGTCACGTGAATAGTAATTACTCATAGTGGCTATCTAGCAATAGGCGAACCCTTCAATAATCTCAAAAGCATCGCTGCTACTAAATAATAAACGCATTTACATTCAGGCCAAAATGATAACGCGTCGCTGGCATTGTGTGGGTTAGATCATAGTGTAAGTGTCATCAATATTTAACAATAACTCTCCACCACCTGGCAATGCCAAACACTCAAAATTTAAAGGCAACGTTGCTTCGCCTTTCAACAAACATTGCTGTGTTGCCAATAAGCCAAATTACTCGGCACGTTTACCCACCACGTCGTGTGCTGGGACGGTTAAAGTTTTAAACATCGGCATCGTTCAACCCCGACACGACCACCCGACCCCAAACTACACCGGCGGTTCATCACAATGGCTCGTGCGAGCCCACGTGCTGCGTGGCGTCGCTGCTGTCACGTGGACGAGGAGTGGGTGGCTGGGTGCCCGGGAGGGGGCGCAACCACCCGGCGAAACTGGATACCGGTGTGCGGCAAACTCAGACATATGGAGACATATCAGTCGACGTGAGAATTGGAAGCAGCTGCCACAGCGGCGCTGATAATGTAATGGTTGGGAGAGGTGGGGGGGGGAGTGGTGGGGGGAGTGGTGGGGGGTGGCTGGTAGAGGTGGGGGGTGGTTGGGAGAGGTGGGGGGTGGTTGGTAGAGGTGGGGGGTGGTTGGGAGAGGTGGGGGGGTGGGTGGTTGGGAGAGGTGGGGGGTGGTTGGTAGAGGTGGGGGGTGGTTGGGAGAGGTGGGGGGTGGTTGGGAGAGGTGGGGGGTGGTTGGGAGAGGTGGGGGGTGGTTGGTAGAGGTGGGGGGGTGGGTGGTTGGGAGAGGTGGGGGGGGGGGGGTGGGAGAGGTGGGGGGGGGGTGGTTGGTAGAGGTGGGGGGTGGTTGGGAGAGGTGGGGGGTGGTTGGTAGAGGTGGGGGGGTGGGTGGTTGGGAGTGGTGGGGGGGGTGGTTGGTAGAGGTGGGGGGTGATTGGGAGTGGTGGGGGGTGGTTGGTAGAGGTGGGGGGTGGTTGGGAGAGGTGGGGGGTGGTTGGTAAAGGTGGGGGGGTGGGTGGTTGGGAGTGGTGGGGGGGGGTGGTTGGTAGAGGTAGGGGGTGATTGGGAGTGGTGGGAGGTGGTTGGTAGAGGTGGGGGGTGGTTGGTAGAGGTGGGGGGGGGTGGTTGGGAGTGGTGGGGGGGGGGTAGTTGGTAGAGGTGGGGGGTGATTGGGAGTGGTGGGGGGTGGTTGGTAGAGGTGGGGGGTGGTTGGTAGAGGTGGTGGGGGGTGGTTGGTAAAGGTGGGGGGGGGTGATTGGGAGTGGTGGGGGGGTGGTTGTGCATTCTGCGCCTCTTCAGCCTGCAGCCGCGGGGCGTGAGGGATGGCCACGCCGTCTCTTTCCATCGTGCCCCAGCTACGACCGGGCCTAACACAACTGTCCCTAAACTTACACCCCCACTTTTAACCCTTTCCCGTTCCGATGACGTGCGCGTACGTACGTGTACGTCATCAGAACGTACGCGTACGTCATTAGTTTGTCTTCCTATTCCGTTCCGATGACGTACATACGGTGTATATCATCGAAACGAAACCGGAAGAAAAACTGAAGGCTCTCACAAGGCCATGCGGGAGGGCGTGTAAACAGTTTGGCGCCGGCTATCATAGAGTGCGGTCGTATAGCTACAGTTCTCGGCGGTGAGAAACAACGTCTTTAAAGACAGCACGCAGTCCCTCAATAAAATAGCACGTTGAAATGTAACTATCTACGCCACGGGACTAATATTCTGCTTCAGGATATTATTTGAAGGGAGATTTATGATCTTCTTTGGTTCTTTCGGTAAAGTCACGTAGAATGAGAATAAAATAATAAAATAACACAAAAAAATAACACAATAAAATTCTCACGACGTTTCGGCCACAACGCCGGACGCATCCCTGATGCCCTCAAGAACTGTGTGACGGCAGGTCTGTACCTTTCACCTGAAGACGGCCGCTTGCGTTGTGGCCGAAACGTCGTGAGAATTTTATCGTGTTATTTTATTATTTTATTCTCATTCTACGTGACCTTACCGAAAGAACCAAAGAAGATAAATCCTTGCAGTCACGAAAGCTTTAAAGGGAGATTTATGATGTTGTTCAGGGATGAAAACATCCCTGAACAACATCATAAACGTAAAAAAGCATCGTCCGTGGGGGTCCGGGTCAGCTTGCCCTGCGGATAGCCCCCGCCCTCACCCCCCTCGCGTCTCCCCCCAGCAGGGTCACGTGACACGACAGGGAGCCACCAGGCGTGACGTCACAGCACAACTCCAACCACGAGTGCATTTGTTGGTATTCGAGCCACTCTTTAAAGCCACGTGGCCTCGGTGTTTCACTTTAACGATTACATTTGTTTTATTCAATATATCACAGCTTGATCCAGGCTTGATCCATGCTCGAACACATACACAAAGGTCTTCATTTTCTGGATCTAAAGAGACGATTTGTGGATTGGAAATTGGGGATAGTGTGAGGAATGGAGCGTCGCGGATTATTGGAATGGAGCGTCGCGGATTACAGGAGTATTCGCGGAGGAGATTGATTCACTCATGGGCGGGGAGGGAGGTGGTCGCGCGCGCGCACTTAACGTCATAGACGTAGCGCTTGTCACGTCTCCCTTTTCCGTTATGCGAAGTCACTCCTCCAGCGTGCCGTCATCCGCACCAAGCAACCCTTATGAGCAAAAGCACTCGGATGACGTCACCCGCGCGAAACTCGCAGGGGTGATGACGTCACTCTCCCGCGCACACCCCCCTCCCCACCACGGTGTCGTCATTTACCCGCACGAAACCAGCCAGAGTGATGACGTCAACCTGATGTAACCAGGGGCGACGATCGCGCTCGGCGCTGCGTGACGTCACGCGAGCCGCGTGATTAATCTCGCAGCCCAGCGCACGCGATCATAGCTTCTGGAACTCTCGCGAGATTTCGCGGTAGACCACTCGCTGCTGGGCTCTCTCTCTCCTCGTCCGCGATCCGTGCTGCTGCGTCTCCTTCCTCGCCGCCCCCATCGCTCTCCACGCGCCGCCGCCGCCCAAAACCTCTTCGCCGTCTCCTTCCCTCCCCGCCGTCGCGGCTCGTGGCTGACGACTCCCAACCCCACGGGTGAGCGCGCCCGCACGCCCGCCCGCGTTGCCCCGCGCGTATCGCGGGGGGTTCACAATGGCCGTGTCGCCCCACCACCACCGCCGCCGTCTCTGTGTTGTTGTTGTTGGTGGTTGTGGGGTCGGGGAGCGGTGGTGGTTGTGGGGTCGGGGAGCGGTGGTGGTGATGGTTGTGGGGTCGGGGAGCGGTGGTGTAGCGGTCGCCGCGCTGTTGCGCTACGAACCCCGGCGGGCACGAGTTCGATTCCCGCTCGTGGACAACGCCCGCTGACGATTAGAATCCGAACCGGTCCTGGGCCTCCCGTCGAGGTCGACTCGTCCTGCTGCGGTGCGTCAACATCGCCAACTGGGGAGACAAAGGCGGCCGGGTTGTTTAAATTGCCAGCGTGCGTAGTAGAGGCGACGGTGCAGGCGCGCACCCCCCTGCAGGTTGCTCGCTCTCACGCCACTGCTGGCCCCAGAGGGCCCTTGGTCTACTCTTCCTCGGTGACGCCATGACGTGTGGGGACGTTGCGGGAGATTTCTTATTCGCGTGGCAAACCGCTTAACGCAGCAGCAGCAGCAGGAGCAGCAGGAGCTGGTCCACCACCAGCACCACCACCAGCACCACCAGCACCAGCACCCCCAACGCTGGGGCGGACCACGCGGGCCGCAGGCGAGACTTGTGCTGAGGCTGCTGGATGGCGAGGGGGCTGTGTTGCACCAATGCCGTTGACAGTGCAGCAACATCGCAGCAGCAGGAGGAGGGGGTGGTTGTTAAAATACTCAGTTCTCGTGGTGCTTGTGGTGGTGATTGTTGTGGTGATTGTTAGTGGTTGTTGGTGGTGGTGGCAAGGTGCACATGGCCTGGCACAAGCGTCGTGGTGACGTCACCGCCACTTAGTGGCGAGTGGCGGTTGTTGCTGTTGGTGGTGGTTGGTGGTGATTGTTAGTGGTTGTTGGTGGTGGCTGTTAGTGGTTGTTGGTGGTGGTTGGTGGTGATTGTTAGTGGTTGTTGGTGGTGATTGTTAGTGCTTGTTGGTGGTGGTGGTTGGTGGTGATTGTTAGTGGTTGTTGGTTGGTGGTGATTGTTAGTGGTTGTTGGTGGTGGTGGTTGGTGGTGATTGTTAGTGGTTGTTGGTGGTGGTTGGTGGTGATTGTTAGTGGTTGTTGGTGGTGGTTGGTGGTGATTGTTAGTGCTTGTTGGTGGTGGTGGTTGGTGGTGATTGTTAGTGGTTGTTGGTGGTGATTGTTAGTGGTTGTTGGTGGTGATTGTTAGTGCTTGTTGGTGGTGATTGTTAGTGGTTGTTGGTGGTTAGTGGTGATTGTTAGTGGTTGTTGGTGGTGATTGTTAGTGGTTGTTGGTGGTGGTGGTTGGTGGTGATTGTTAGTGCTTGTTGGTGGTGATTGTTAGTGGTTGTTGGTGGTGGTTGGTGGTGATTGTTAGTGCTTGTTGGTGGTGGTTGGTGGTGATTGTTAGTGGTTGTTGGTGGTGGTGGTTGGTAGTGGTGATTGTTAGTGGTTGTTGGTGGTGGTTGTTGGTGGTGATTGTTAGTGGTTGTTGGTGGTGGTGGTTGTTGTTGTTTGTGTTGTTGTTGGTGGTGGTGTTGTTGTTGGTGGTGGTGTTGTTGGTGGTGGTTGTTGTTGGTGGTGTTTTCGGTGTTGTTGGTGGTGGTTGTTGTTGGTGGTGTTGTCGGTGGTGTTGGTGGTTGTTGTTGGTGGTGTTGTCGGTGGTGTTGGTGGTGGTTGTTGTTGGTGGTGTTGGTGTTGTTGGTGGTGGTGGTGGTGTTGTTGGTGGTGGTGGTGTTGTTGGTGGTGTTGGTGGTGGTGGTGTTGTTGTTGGTGGTTCTTGGTGGTGGTGGTTGTTGGTGGTGTTGTTGGTGGTGTCCATGTGGCCGAGTGCTTGATCGGTGGCCGAGGTCGGCGTTACTCAACGACCACGCACGCCATAGCAGTCGCATTCACGCGGACCTTTGACGTGCGCGCGCTAGCGGTGTTGCGAACTTTAATAGTAATCGTAACTCGAACCCAGTAAGATGAGCAATTTTGACTCGACGTTAAAATAAACGCGTTGCGTGTACGTCTGACGTCTTTCTTACCCCTTCGCCGACCGTGCTAAGGGGCAACTCCCAGGCCGCGCGGGCCGGCAGGAGGGGCAGGCTTGACGCGTCAAGGCGACTTGGGGAGTCGTGTTTCGAGTTGACGACCTGGTTGGGGTGCGCTGGAGAGTCGCCATGTGTACGGGCAGGCCGAACGGGGCCCCCCCTCGAAAGGTCGCCGATGGATTTGTCGCATGAGAAACCTGGGCAGCGGAGTGGAGTCGTGTGGGGGCCCGGGTACTTTGAGCCGCTCCTCGCTGCCTCCCCACCCATTCCCCCCCCCCCCTCTCAACGCTGGACGAGGTTCGAGCAGCAGCAATGGGGGTGGAGACTGAAGGGTGGACATGTGGTTGCGCTGTGTGGCATGTCACTCGGCCTCTGGCGTGGACTTTGGTAGGCGCCTGGGCCCGGGCCCACGGCACCTGAGCGCGATCATCGCCCCCGTGGTGTTGTTGCCCCGTCCTCCTGCTGCGCGGAGCGGAGACATGGACGCTCAACGAGGCACCGAGGGCCCGACTGAACGCCTTTCGTGGCAAGGGTCCCTGAGCGGGAAGCCGATGGCGTAGCCGGAGAGGTTTCGGTTTCGAGCCACCGACTGCCGTCGTGAGAGACGGGCCTGAGGACCTCCGCTGGCGCGGGTGCCGTGGGTTGGCAGCTCCGAATCGCCGCTCATGCCCGGCTTGGAGGAGGCCTCCCAGGGGGAGGGAAGGCGATGGCCCCTCACTGCAGCAGCAACCTCCAGGGGTTGGGACCAGGTCGGGAGCGCTGGCCCCTTGCGGTTCGTGGTCGCAAAGGACGCCAATTGCCTGGAGGCCGAGGTGGCACGTGGGGCCACGCACTCCGTAGGCCTAGGCACCCCCCCCTCCCCCCTCGTACTTGATCCGAGTATCTCGGTGATGCTGCTTCTGCTGTATTAGGATTGATGCACGGCAAAAATCTCAACAACAACAACACCGCCGTTGTGTGCGGCCTTCAAAGGGGACGATGTAATCGGTGACGTTTACATGGTCCCCTTTGAAGTGCTGTGAATAAGATGCATTTCCAGACACCTCGCACACAACAGCATTAACGTAAGTGCATTGTCATTGTTAACATTGATCAAACGTTAACATACCAATAACATGGCTGGGTTAACGATCCCCACATGGCTCCCACGTTAACATAACCCATCAAAGTAATGTAATGCCTTTAACAATGTTAACATAATCATACAATGACATTAGGACATTACCACGATACAATTAGCCTGACATTAACAATGTGAACTTGACCATAACAACGCTGGTGTGATGGCGTCATTAACAAAAGTGCGTTAACTTTGACATAAAACGTTAGCACAACATTAACATTACCACGTTGACAACATCATGTTAGCACGACATTAAAACAACGTAATTATAATAGCATTAATATGGGCAACGTTAACATTGTATGGTGAACATATAACCCTTAACTCTCCAACAACAGCACCATCGCGAACACACCATTATCACAAACTCAACACATTCGTAAATAGCACATGTGGTGGCCGTAAAATACATATCTAACAATGGGCGACGTTTCGGGCAGTGGCCCTTCCTCATTTGGAAGGAGGCGGCATGAACCAGTTGGGTTTACTTTGATCCGAAACGCTTAGTGGCAATAATTAATTTTAATGCGTTAATGCTGTGCTAACAGCTGGCGCTGATTATAGAAGCGATTGGCGTTATCCTGGTCAACAGCTGTTCCAAACCGCGCATCAGCACTGTAGCACTACGTACCGTAGCGTCAACAAAGCTGCCTTAACATCGCGTCAACACAACGGCCTGAACGTAGCGTCAACAGCATCACAAGGTTAACATAGCAACATCAACAGAACAGCCTTAACATGGCATCAAAATAACGGCGAACGTAGCAATAAAAACACGAGGTTAAAATAGCGTCAACAACATCACAAGGTTAACATAGTAACGAAAAACATAGTAGTCTTAACATAGCATCGGCAACATCAAAAGGTTAACATGTCATCAACAGGATGACAGCGGCGTTACCATGGTGACGCGATTGGGAAAAATGTGTTGGTTGCGATAATTGTGGCACAGACGGCAGGGGTAACCGCCGTCATGGTAACCGGCCCACGACCGGGGTGACAAGGTGGGCGCATGGTGCCCGTGTTGGACTGTGGTTGCGGTACCAAAGGCCATGCCACGGCTCTGAGCATTACTCCCGGTCATATATGCTTTCGCACTGAACGCAGGAAAAAACAACTGCACGTGTGTGGACCTTCCATTGAGGACGAACTGAAACTGGCAGTCTGCTACAGAGAGAGTCCTCCTCCGCACGAGTGAAAGAACCACAGGAGTGAATTTCACGGGAACAGTGACCACGGTAGTAGCAGTAGAAGAGTTATGGGGAGGTGGCTGGCTGGCGGCCAGCGGGTGACCGGACTGAATCGGTGGGTGCCGGATCACCAAATCGGCCTGTGACTGCTTTACGTTGAATTCCATCCGGTGCAGCGAGGTTTGAGCCGAGTGCTGCTGCACCCTGGATGTGATGGCAGCGGCAGGGTTCCCTCTGTTGGGTGACTTTGTGCTGTGTGTGGCAGTAATAATTGTTTGCAGTTAAAGACAAAAGCTCTGGCACAGAACCGAAAACCCAGCGTATTTGATGCATCCTTAACCAGATTAGTAACGTGGCCATTCCATGACAGCTCAAATGATGATGTAATTATAACAGTGTTATTAATACTGCAACATTTAGTCTTTTATTACCCTGAAATTCCCATGAATCACAATGTCCCCTGCTTGCAGTGTTTGAGCAATTAATACATCCTTAATGAGTGTAAGCAGAGCTGTGTCTGTACTAATGCGGGATGAGGAGAGATCCTAGAGCAGGGGTCGGTAACCTTTTTGGCTGAGAGAGCCATGAAAGCCACATTTTTAAA